TTTTAAGTGGGAGAACTTGCACAATTGGTGGCTGACTAAATACTTTTTTGCCCCACCGTATTTCTCTAGAATAAAAGCACAACAGATTGGTCATATGACCCACCTCCATCACTTTTCCCTTAGCATCATGTCTGTTGGTTTCCAAGTTACACACAAAGCAGGGTGCTGTCCCACCAGCCAGCATGGAAATGCAGCAAGCTGTCAGAGGAGGAATGAGTTGCTTCATTCTGTGCTAGGCAGGAAGATGACAAAGCACTGTTCTGCACACTCTGCTCAGAAATCAGTGGCTTGCAAGAAGGATTTTGTGTCTCCATTAGCAGTCAGTGCATTCAGATTGTAATTATTGATCTTTGTGGCAACTAAATGGATATTTAATCATAAGACTGAGGTAACAGATGCAAGGCCTAGGCAAGAATTCCTGTTGCAGGGATGAGAGATGCTATTACATAATACATTTTTCTAGTTTAATTGGGATCAGTTTGACCCATGCCATTGATACATTGCCATTCAGCTTAGAAGTTAATTCTGTGGTTTGTTTGATCTTCAGCATATTTACTTCATAGAATATTACTTCAGTACTGCATAAGTTCACTGAGTGGTGAATGTTGCTTGTTCTATCACTTAGTGTATTAGGTATTACGTTTCTCTTTTTTTTCCCAATAATTTTATTAAAGATAATATAAAACAGATAAAACTAGAACAAGAACCTAATACAAAAATACATTAAAAGAAGAAAAAAAATAATTTAAGAAAGTGCAAAGAAAAAAGTCCTCCCCAAAAAAGATAAACTTTCCCCTTCATCCTCAGCAAATACTGTATACTCAACATTAACAATTTATCACTGTCTCTTAAAACACAGCCAAATACATCTTCTTTCTATACTTCACTCCATTTTCTATAAACCCATCTCTAAATCTCAGCTCTCCTTATTAATCAACAAAGAGTGTAAAAATTAAGAGACATAACTAACAACATAAGTATTTAGTTCCCCTTTCCATTTAAATATAATCCCCCTAATCCCTCTCTCAATAATTAAAATCTAATCCCAATTAACAAGTAAACATTACAAAAAATAAAAAAATAACCATTAATTATCACCAGAGATAGCAACCCATTAAACATTACAGAAAAATAAAAACTGTTAAACATTATCAGAAATAATAATCCCTTATTTATATACCAAAAATAGTAACATAGATATTACAAACTAATCCATTATACCCAATTGAACATTTCCAAAAAACCGCCCAAAAACCTATCCAAAGTAGCCATTAAACACCACCAGTGATAGCAGCCTATTACTTAACCATAATCAAATAAACCAATTTTGTATTTTTTCTTCTTCCTCCCATCAATCCTTCAATCCCATAGGTAAAGTTCTAACACCTGCTTTCTTCTACTATCCTTATCACTTCTCTTGAAATCCTTGTCATCTTTATCAAAGTCCATTTGTAATTTCAATGTAGCTATTTCAGTAAGTTTCTTATATTCCAATTTAAATGGGTAATCCACATCTCTGTTTTGATACATTATTTGTATTTAAATTTTTAAATTATCATCCAATTCCATTTGTAAATCCAATATTTCCCTCTCTTTCTTATAGATTATAATTTTTAAGTCCATCTTAAAATTTCAGTTATCTTCTAAGGGACTTATTTCTCCTCAATAACTGCTTTTGGTTCCAATATAGGGTTAAATAGGCCGAGCATTTCTTGAGCCAACTTATAAAACCTTTCCTTTAAAGTAGCCATCTAGTACCTTCTAGTTAACCTTCAAAGCTTTTTTTCAGGTTGAAATATAAACATGATTTTTTTCTGACATGAAAAGATCTTTTTAATTAAATTCAAAGTCTTTCTTTAAAACAATTTCATCCAAATCCTTAGCATTTAAAAACTTTCCAAAAAACAACACTATAATTCCCCTTTTGTTATATATTGCAAAAAATAAAGTTCTTACCAAGCTGGAAACATGTAGTTTTCTTTCTTTTTAAACAGATTGAAGAGAGGCTCACCCAGCGAATGCCCAACTTGCAGTTCCAAAGATTTTTCAAAATTAAAGAATAAGAAAAACATTAAATTCCAACGTGATTAAAAAGATGAGATTTGGTCGAATTTTGAGTGCATGAAAAGGCTACATTACCGGCTCAGAGCATAATGAAACCTGTGACTCCAAGCTGATTGCAAGCGACCGCAAAAATGTTAGTTTTTGCTGTCAACTCACAAAAAACCAGCTGTCCAGAGTGCACGAGAGCAACCTCAAGGTCTCTCTTTTATCCAGAGAGAATTATCGGCAGTCTATATCTGTCAGCCCTCTCAAGTAAACCAAACAGGAAACATGACCAGATGAGCGATTTCTACTTTATTGTTAGGATACATTAACAACATTTTGCAAGTATGAAAGTACAAATCTCCTGCCATCCCTATTTACCGCCTGATCAGTTAGGGCAGGTCCATTCTAAGTTTCTTTCTCTGCCCACTACTTAGTTGCAGATCCTTTCCCCTTTTATCTGATTGTTCCCTGGGCAGCATCTCTTCCCCCCATCTTCCAAGGTCATTCTCACATTCCATTACATCACCCTCCCCTTCAGACTCATCCCCCCTCCCGCATTCCCAGGGGAAGCAGGCTGTGGGCTGTGAGAACGAAATGCAGGTGTGTTGCTCTTCTCTTCTCCTGGCAACTTCCTGAATCACACGAGGTTTCCCGTAAATCATCTCCAGTCAATGTGACAACTGCCCCTCCCTCAGAATCTGCTGGTCTCCTCCTCGCCAATCCTGCATGCCTGATGTGGAAGGAATTGACTCATTTCTTCCTACTTGGTCTCTTGCTATTCTTGAGGCCCCCTCCACGCCACAGAAAAACTCCTCCTGGTCGTCTTGGTCAGTGCCTGACTCCTGCAAGGCCAGTAGTTACCAAGGACAGGGTTTTCTGGGGTACTGGTCGTGAAAGTGGTGCACCAGTTGTGGCACATGCACATCCGCTGCTGTCTCCCATGATCTTTCTGACTCTAGGTAGCCTTTCCAGTGTGTCAGGTACTCAACCTGCTTCCCTCTGTGTCTAGAATCTAACACTGCTTCCACCTCGTATTCTTCCTCCCTGTTTACTAGAATGGAAGGGGGGATACTGTCTGTGAACGTAGAGTGCAGGAAGAAGCTACCTTTACAAGCAAAGACTGATGGAACATGGGGTGAACCTTCATTGATGCCAGCAACTGAAAACGCAAAGCCACTGGATTGATTTGCTTAATCACTGGGAAATGGCCAATAAATTTTGAGTCCAGTTTCTTGGAAGGTCTCAAGGAATTTAGAAATTTTGTAGAAAGTAAACCAGACAGGAAACACGACCAGATTCTCACATTCCATTACAGAATCCCGCATCCAGCTGCCTTTCAGCCACAGTGTCTTCCACGGAGCGTGGGATGTCAGTTGGCCATTCCTCATTGGAAGTGACTCCTGATACTACACTTATCTCAAAAGAACGTGGTGCTGAATTTCAGATGCCCTGCCCCAAAAGGAAAAATAGAACGAAAAAAATCATGAACAAAAACGTACAGTGTCCCTCTTTCCCACTTTGTCTACCTATGGTTGTTAGTTTCATCTGAAAGCAATCCTTGAGTTTTGTTCCCCAACAAAACACTTTGCCCAACTTTTGTGTGAGTATGCTTGTTACACTGGCCAGAAAGCAACAGTCCAAAGAAAAGCAGGATTAGGGCAAAAAATGCTATTAATTTTATTAATAATGGTGGATTAAAATGGATTGCCTATAAAATAAGGTGCCCCATTTTTAAATCAATGGATTCATCATCTACAATCATCAACCATTCTCCTCTCACACAGACTATTTTCATAAGTGACTCAATCACTTTGTAACCATCTCCTCTCCCTCAGCCCTTGTAAGTGAAGCACCTGTTAGCAGCAACTTAAAGAGCTACTTTTAACTGCTGTGTGATCCTGGAAAAAGATACCTTTAGTTTCAGGGGTTTGCAGATTGGTGTTATGCATACTCTATGGCACTTTTTTGCCCTTAAATCCAGTGTGTATAGCCCTAATATTCATTATATACACAGAAAGAATTGAAGAAAGTGGATTATACTTGGTCAGTTTGACATATTCTTTTCCATTCCCATGCTACTGTTT